TGCGTCTGAAGCGCCAAGGAGAGAGTGCTCGGAAGTTTTATAAATAGTTGCGTCTTTTAAAAGGAAATTGGAAGTTGTCAGACACATGCCATCTGCATTTTTTTGGGGATATCTCCAATAGAGGCACTCTTTGAACGCGACTGAAGTATCATAACGTATAAAGTGGCAGAGCTCAAAGCCGATTGGATCTCTATTCACAGCACAGTCACACAGTGTCAAGGTGCCCCGGCTAATGAATACTGTTTCCATGACATCTATTAACCTTGCTTATACTTGTGCTGTGTTTGTGTTTGTGTGACTGAGTGTGTGTGTCACTGTGTTTTCTGCACATCTATCTCTATGAGGGCAGCCGACCAAAACCCTCGAAAGGCTTTTATTCTCATTTTGCAAAAAGAGAAGTTTTAGTCTGGGACCTCAAGACTTGAGGTCGTTTGGGGTCAAATGACTCCAAACTTTCAGTAAATTGGCCGCTATGGAAATTAAGTTTAGTACTGACTGTATAAGGGCAAACTCACACTATAGGCCAAGTTGTTCTGCACCATGCTGATGCACAACTGCCCCCCCCCCTCCCCAATCCCCTGCTGGCCTGCACTCTGCTCCAGGTCTAACCGGGCCTGGGCATGATAACCTCTCTACACAACGATGAAATCCAACACATGCATGGCTTTAAATGATCATGAAGCATGCTCAGTTTACAAGACAGACAGACTCAAAAAAAGGGACATGCAGTCGAGTCCCCGTCTGCACATTGGACAACACAGAGAATAAAACTGCAACGTTACTGACTTTGTGGCTTATTTTTAGTCATTTCGGCCAGATTCAGCCATAACACTCTGGGATTTCTCCATAATAGAAAGCGAGGATCAATAATACTTCATGTCCACATTGTGGAAAATTTGTTTTCAACATTACATCAAGCAATCAGTTGACTGCAGGAAGGATGGGGCTGTCACCACTTTTTGAAAAGCCCTATTTTTACCCTGCTCACAGTATTTTCTCAGGTAGGAGTTTTGTTTTTTTAACCAGACACAACAAAGACACCAAACTCCATTGACAAATACAGTAATATTACCTCACAGAACACGATGTCGCTCTTCTTCCACTTCATGGATCTGGTATTTTTTGTTCAATGTTCTATTGAATCTGAGTTTCCTTCTCAAAACACCAGTTCTGTCATTACACTTAAACTAGTAGAAAACGGAGCACATAAACAGTTTCGGGGTGCGAGGGGGGAGGCAGTAGCTCAGTGTGTCAGGACTCAGGTTGGGTACTGGAGGATCGCCAGTTCAATTCCAGGTGCAGACCAAAAGTCTGGAAATTGGTCTGGTTGCTGGAGAGGTGCCAGTTCACTTCCTGAGCTCTGTCGAGGTGCCCTTGAGCAAGGCACTGGATCCAACCAGCTTAGGTGTCCATGTCCATAGGATGTTGTTTGAGCATGTGTGTGTATTTCAGCCTATGTGTGTGTAGCATGTTCAACAACAGAGTGTAAAATTGGATTTCTCCTCACGGGATTAATAAAGTATAACTTCTTCGAACAAATCTTCAGGTGCACGACCGCAAAAAGACAGAAAAGTCAGCATCTATACTTTGCTGCTTTACCCAGATTATAAAACGTTAAAGGACATTGAGTGTGCTGACTTTTCCTTTTTTTCTTATAACATATAAACTAACCAGCACCTCCTCCTGTGGTCTGCCAGGTAAAATCCCTGTTTTTGTCAATGGAGTCCGGTGGTATTGAAGCGAGTAATGTCATTGTTGAAACTGGTTTAAAAAATAAGTCTACCGACGGCGTCTAGAAGTCTGGATCCTGTTAGTCATGTACAAGTCTATCAGTATTTCAATTTCCTTTAAAAGGGTGCAGTTGCATAAAATCGTGTTTGGCTCATATTCAAACAAGCTTTGTTCGGTTGTCCTCCTCTGACTTTGCCCCGTTTAGCAAATAAGAGACGATTAAAATAAATGAGCCTAGATTGATCCTGATACATGTGAGGGGGGGAAGACTGATGGGGAAGGCAAGCAAAAGGGATGATTACAACTGTCCCTGCCTGATGACAAATGGCCCTGTATTGTGCCAGGAAGAAGCAGTTCCTTTTTCTTTTTCTTTTTTTATCAGCCTGCATCAAAACACTTTGAGGATATCACAGCAGCCATCGTTGTCATCATCACTATCAGCATTTCCATCGTTTTCTCTCCTGCCCGCCTCTGATCAACATACAGCCTGAGATGCCGCCTGATAGCGTTGCAGGGAATGTGACAGGTAGAGGAGTCTGAAATTGCATTGATCAGTGTGATAATGAAAGTGAGGCCAAGTGTAAATCTAACAGAATTACACTCCCTGAAATGAAACTTTCCATGCAGCTTAAACATTTCCTGAACTGTACAAATGGATAAAGCAATGAGGCTATGAGAGTCGAGGTGAGACGTTGAAATCGAAACGATGAGGGTTTGACCTCTGCTGGGACCTCCTGAGGATAATATTTAGGAGAAAGCATCATATTGAGAGGGCACATGTGTTTAAAGAACTACACTTCATTGTCTTTTTTAAAATCAAACAATAGGTCAAGCTCATTGTCACGGGAAAACAAAAAACCTCCAGAAATGTTTTTACTCTTTCCCCCTCCAAAAGACATTACGATCAACAAAAGAATGAATCTGCTTCAAACATCAGAAAGAGAGCACAATGTCTAAAAAAAAAAGAGAATACTGTATGAGTGTTGCCCTTAAATGAAAAAGAGAGAGAAAAACAAATAGCTTCATTAAGATTTGAGAAACAGAACATGACACTCGAGCTTTGAGCAACCAAAACACAGATAACCTACATTCAATGCTGTCCCTGAATGCATCTGTGTAGACACTGATAGTGACCACCCTGTACTCCTTTACACAATATACAGTATGTGTACATTCAGAGTCATCAGGCCATGTGGGCTGGGCCTAGCATCTGCATTTAATAAAAATAAATTGCAACAACTAGCCTTACTGTGTCCACGGCAACAATGATCAAACAGAGTTGCAATGTTTAAACAAGCCAACAGGGACATTGAACCCTAAAAAGAAAATCTATTTTAACACATATCCTGCATTTAACAGTTTCTTTGGAATATTTAAATGCAAACAAAATGTTTGAGTCATTTAAAAGGGGCCAATGAGCTGCCCCGAAATGCTGTACACATTGAAAATTAACTCTGACACATTAGTGTGCGGGGCCGAATGAGAATCAGCAGACGATAAAAGTCGACTTTAGTGAAGTTTGGTTTAATAGGAGCGGTATAGGAGAGGCTGTGCGGGCTCAGCGCAGGGAGCTCAGATCTTGAGAAAGCATCCTGCTGCAGATATCAGTCAGCCTGATGAGCCAGAGGACAGAAGCAATTACACTGAGAGCAAGAATAACACAGGGTTTAGGAAATAAAAACATTACTATAAGGACGCACCATGACAAGTAAGGTTTAAAACCTCATTTGAAGAGGAGTAATTGCGTTGGAAGTTATTTATGAATCCAGAGGTGAAAATGTACCAAAATGTCTGAGTTGATGTACAGCCTCGCTCCACCTCAGGATTTTGCATTTAAATTGGAATATTTGTCCCTACACACGGAGTAAATCATGTGACACCATGTTCTGCATTTATCTTTCATGAAGCCCCTTTTACATCTCATTCTACATCTGCCGAGAGTGAACTGTATTACTACCCCACCGGCAGCGCTCCACTCTGTCTCACAATTAAGTGTTCACTGGTAACCAATTACCTCTGAGGCGTGCAGAACAAATTATATTCGAGCAAGTGTCATCTTCGGCGCTCACTTCTACAAACCTGATGTTGCAATCTGATGAACATAGCAGGAAACCTTTTTACTCTGAATTACAGCTGTTGACAAACAGGAACCAATAAGTCCTTCGGGTTATCAGGGGCCTTTGTGAACGAGGTTCTAATTCATGGAAAATATATTTATTTTTTTGTTTTATTGACTCCAATGTGGACATGAACTAAATCAAGACTCACAGATTAAGAATCAGAAAGAGACAATGCAGAAAAAAAAAATGCACTAAAAGGGATCTCAACTGCGGCACAAAACATAAAGATGAACATTGACACTAACCCCTGAAAGTTGCACCTTCAAGATTATTAAACTTTTGATCAAGTATAAGTCGAGGTCACCCAGTTTATACACAGATCCCTTACAGTACATATCCAGAATTAGTTCAATAAGGGCTCTTATGTGGAAGGTTTTTGCAGAAATTGTGAATGTAACATCATTAGCACAAACATTAAAATCAGTGCAGGTGAAATTGTATAAAAGTTTACAAACAAACACTATTTCATTACAAGACACATTTAAAAACTGGTATTTCTAGGCAAGAAAACTTCACTATATAGGTATTGAAAAAACATATACCTCCCCCTGAAAAGATATATACATATATATATATCAACCAACTGACGTGTCACAAATTGAAGGAGTCTTTGCAGATGTTAGGTGACTGATTGCATCTTACGTGCTCCTTTGCAAAAGTCTGATGACATGAGGAGCATTTCTCAAAAGACATCCTCCAACGGGTGTTCTTATTGTGGTGATTGAGAGAGCTGTCTAAAACATCCATCCAAAATGTAACATACCGGTCATCTTTCCCATAAGGATGTTAATGTTTCACAATAGGATAATAAATGTAGAATTGTCTGATAAGCTTAGTAGCAGGTTACTGCTTAAGAATGTAGTTTTTTTTTAGATTATGCATGAAAGCAATCACGCAAGAAAGTTGTTGTTGGTTTAAGCAGCAGCTTGGTACACTGGTTTGGTTTATTTTCTTTAGGGACTGACTTTTTAAATGCCTTTTTTTGCACAAATAAATTTAAAAAAAAAGGAATAATTGATTCTATTCAGTATCTAAATGATAAAATTAATGTATGATTATGAATGCAAAAAAAATGAAATAATTATTGTTTAAGTGTGTGTGTGTCTCCTCGTTGTAGACATCCTGTATCCCCGTCGTTAACTGTCCCCATGGCAACAACATCCAGCCGTCAGTACGTCACTGCTGCTTTCTTTTGTCCATGTAGCATGCTGCTAAAGGGAGAGCTGTCTTGTTCCCTGTAGTTAAAACGAAATACAGAGTGAGTCATTCTTTACACTTCGATTTTCACACAAGATTCCGAACAAGATTTTGAGAATGTAAAAAAAAAAAATCCGATAAGCCGATTTTATGAAGATAATCGTGGATTCACTGAAGTGGTGGTTAGCAGCTTAGCCGGCTAAGCTACCTCAGCTACGCTCTGTGACTAGCATTCGGTGCTACTACTCATGCTAATTGGTCTTTGTTTTTCGTTCACCGCCGTGTTCCTGTGTTGCTTTATAAACAAACCGGGATACATCGCACCTTAATGCCGCTCTTAGTGTTACATCTGTGTGAAGCGGAGTTGATTTACAATGCCGAAATGCTAGCCTTAATTAGCTAGTTAGCCGCGGTGCTTGTCAGGCAAGATGTGAGACGAGGATAAAAAAAAACTGGACTTGGCGTGATGCTTGTCTGACTGCTTTGCGTGCATTTTACGCGCATGTTGTTGCTAAACTTAGTCTGTGGGGTTGGTTTAGTTTTTCGGTTACAGTTACCTGCAGAGGTGCTCTTTGTTTGCTAACAGCTTGCTAAAAGCTAAGCCACGCAATGTGTTGGGACTGATCAGGTTCTCGTTGTTTGTCCTGATCGCAGCGTCACTGTCGTGTTTTAGGAGCAGCTGGGTTTCGTTCCATTAAACTCGTGTTTTACGTTTTTGTTGTATGTAGAGACCTAGCTCGGACCTCAGCGGTCTGTGCGACATTTTTCAAATAATGTAAACAAACTTGGATGATGAACAGGATCCTGAAGCAAAGACAGATGTGCAGCAGCAGCAGGAGGTGTTTGACATCAAAGCAATAGAAACACTTTCTCTGACAGAAATATTAAAGTCATATTGAGTCATTGTTGCTCAGTATGACAACTATAAAGTGTACGCTGAAGATGAGATGACTCTTAGTTTAATGTGAGGCACAACTTAGTTACCTCATGCCCTGTATGACGTGCTTTGTTGAGCTGTTCTAGTAATCAAATCAAATCAAGTCTATTTGTATAGCACATTTAAAAACAGCTTCACCTGACCAAAGTGCTTTACAGGCAATGCGTAAAAGCAAGAAATGAAAATAAAAACATTAATCTATACGTATGCACATATTTTACTATATATAAATACATATATACATAATACACACACAAATATATATATATATGCACATACATATATACGTGTAGTATACATACATATCACAAACACATACACTCATACCTACATGCACATGATACATACAGATACCTAAGCTCAATATATGGGGTCTGTTTCAACTTGATCATGACCATGCAGTGACTTAAAAACAAGTAATAGAATTTTAAAATGGACTCTTAAGATCTACAGGAAGCCAGTGAAGGGAGGCGAGTGTTTATAGGGTTATATTTGTTCGGTTGTTTACTTGTATTTCTGCAGGGCACCCCTGGAAAAGGGTTTTGTGTCTCATTGGGTATAATTGATATACAGTGTCATAGGGCTGGGCGATATGGACCAAAAGTCATATCTCGATATTGTTTAGCTGAATGGCGATACTCGATATATACCGATATGTATTTTATTAACAGTGAAAACACATGGAAAAATAAACTACCTGTTTGTGAATTTAAAAAGTAATATTATAAAATAAAAATGTTCCTTAAATACAATAAAAGAGAGAGAGAGGAGGAGCAGGGTTAGGAGGGACAGACAGTCAGTCATCATCATTGAGATGAGAAAAAAAGTGACCTGGCACCTCTGTAATGTTATTTTAATGCAACTTAAACTATATCGATATTAACGATATTGTCTTACCCTATATCTTGTTTGAAAATACATTGATATATCTTAAAAACTCAATATATTTCCCAGCCCTACAGTATCACCCAGCCTAGTATATTGCTTCAATGGGCAAAACATGGCATGTCCCTTGTATTCATATTGCAGATGCTGTTCTAAACAGACTGATGGTGTGAGTTGTGTTTTCGGAGCTGATTACTGAGAGTTCTGATTTGTTAGTTGTAGACGTTATAAGTGTTGCTTTGCTTTCTAAAGTTCAACCTGCGCTGAGAACGAAAAAAGGGAGCATGTCACTTGTAGTCCACTGAGGCATAGCACCAACGATTCAAAGGTCATAATGATCAGTAGCATATGTCTGAAAAGATGCATATTTAGAAAAGGAGACCTGTTCCAGTGGAAATCGAAGAATTTGGTCAGAAATCAGCAGAAGGCCATATACTTTAAAACTGTTATAGTAAAGCCCACCTGCCTGTAAATCAAAGCTAGCACAATATCTAATGTGTTTCTACATGTATAAACTGCATACCAACATTTTGGGGTTTCAGTGGCTGCAGAAATACCATGTAAAAAATCTAAAGAGTTGTGAGTAATGTAAGCCTCTGAAGCCAGCATCAATAGAGAGTCTGTTTTATGCTGCTTAATCTAGGGTGCTATTGCCTGCTTTTGAAGCTTAGTACTTTAAAACAGAAACAAAAAAGTTTACTGATGAGTTCAGCCAGGATATCCTCTAATATACCTTCAGTTACTATTTTAGCTCAAGATAACTTTTTTCATATCCGACAATATCTGTATGTCATGTGCAGAAACTTAAGGACCGCCCCCTTAAAATAATCCTTACCCTAATTTACAGAATTTATCAAAGAAAAGTTTCCCACCGCTGAACACAAGTGTCAACTGAAGCTCATGCTTTATTCTTCAGACCTATATAAAGACATGAGTTCAGTTTTTTAAAGTGGTTTTGAGTGGGAGAAAATCATCTGACGGCAAAACGTTAATTACAGCATTGAACCTATTTTTAGGTATAGGCGAGTAAGATTTATCTCATGACAACCTTGGAGAAGTTTTTTTCCACTGCTTGTCACTGCACTCTTAAAGCCAATCTGGACCTGAACGCTCACTCACTCGCTTTCTCATGTTTGTTTCTCCCTTTTGTAGTGGACCGCAGTTTGAAGCGCCGGCAGGTGAAGCCACTTGCTGCCTCTCTGTTAGACGCCTTGGATTATGACAGCTCAGATGACAGTGACTTTGAAGTGGGAGACGCCACAGGTAAACTCAAGCTCTTTATTTTTTATGACCAGCAGCCTTACATTTATAAAAAGTTAACATCGTAATAAAAGGAAAGATTCACAAAGGCAGAATAAGTGAACCTGAGGAAGCTACAGGCGAAACGCGTTGTTGGCTCAGAATAAAATACAAGGAGTTTTTATTCACTTTTCATAATATTATTATCTATTTGAGGAATTAATCTGGGTCCAGGTTTCATAAGAGGGGTTAAGGCAGTTTGACATTTGTTCTGAGCTTAGTAATGTTGCAAAGTTTTGTAACCATGGTTTCTCATTTACATTGTTGGTGGTCTTCCAGTGAGAGGGTAGGGTTGAGATTATTTCAATGAATATGTTCAACTTTATTCTCTAGATTGTCTTTAAAGTGATTTCCTTTAAACACGTCACCTTTCACCAAGTTCCTACTGATGCTGGAGCAGCCACAGGTTGCTCTTAACGTTATTCATCTTTTTTCTTCCTCTGTCTTTGTTTTGTGTTCTGACAGGATCAGACGGCACAGGAAACGGCAGTGACGAGGAGGGGTCTAAAGCTAGTGCTGCAGGTTCAGAGAGCGACTCGGAGAACGCCGCTTCTGCAGAAGACGGAATAGACGAAGAGGAGGCCAAAGACCTGGCTGCTGAGGACAACCTAACCGAGGATGAAGAGAAGAGCAAGCAGCAGCCCTCCTCGGACAGCTCCACCAAAGACGCCTCCGCCGCCACACCACCCAAGAGTCGACGCAAGAGCAAGAAGGCGTCAGAGCCCGAGCCTCCTGCAGCTGCGGGTACTGAGTCTACCTCAACATCAGGCTCGGGCAGTGTCAACGCTGAAGAGGCGGAGCCCAAGAAGTGGAACTTCCGCAGGAACCGGCCCCTGCTGGACTTCACCACCATGGAGGAGCTCAACGAGATGGACGACTACGACAGCGAGGACGATAACGACTGGAGACCCACAGCGGGGAAGAAGAAAGGCAAAGCAGCCACTCAGAAAGGAGGGACTGAGGAAGAGGAGGGTGGAAGTGCCAGTGATGATGATGACGACGACGACGACGATAACGATGACGACGACGATGACGACGACGACGACGACGATGATGACGAAAAGGAAGAGGGAGGTGAAAACAACAACAACAGCAGCAGTGACAGTGAAAAAGAGGTGAAGAAGCCCAAGAAGAAGGCGAAGAGCAGCAGCACTTTTGATGAAGAGCTGACTAATGACAGCATGTCGCAGGGGAAGAGCAACGAGGTGAGTGCAAATACAGTCTCACGAAGAGTTCAACGTTTCAAATCCAGCCGAAACAAAATAAAATGTTGTTCCCTTTTTGCTGCTGAAGTGTTAAAACCCAACAGAGAAATGAGAGTTTGAGTGCAGAATGGTGCCTCATCAGTACATTCATCAGGCAGAATGTCTTCAGTCTTGAGTACGAAATCTTTCATTTTGTGCAAAACGTTAATTCAAGCATTCTATTTTAAAATGATTTTTGGGTTATTCAAGTACTCTCAAAAACCTCGGCCTTTTGACATTATTTTCGCTCCAGACATTATTTTGCACTGGCGGTACAGGCTGCACAGAAATACTTAGGAACAAATGCACATCTCAAATTGCGGACACTGAAAGAGCTTGTTTTTTGTCCTTAACATTCTCAGGTTGTTATTCTAGTCTGTTATTCTAATATTAAAGAAATGACACCTACAGAGATAAAGCTTTTTCATCAACAATTGTCCATGAAGCCATTACAAAACATATGAGAGTTCCTGTTTCCAGTTTTGTGTTATTCATGGCTGTGTTTTAATACACTATTGATTTGAAAACACTGAATCATTTTTTTAATCTTGAAACGGTCCTAGTTATCAAAAAGTCTGCAGATGAACTAGTTGGCTACTTTGTTTGGCACTCCATGAAACCAAACAACAATACGAGTCACAAAGTCAGCGTATAATCCAGTGACAGGTTTAGATGATATCGGAGTGATTCCAGGAGAATTTTTCCCTTTGTTGCAATCGACTTAGCGCGGCGTCCATGAGCATTGTTTGTGGGATTTACTAACTGCCAGTTACTGGATCTGTGCTCGGATCAAGAGGAGTGGGGGCGGCGTCAGATAAGTGGCTTTACTCAGGCTCTGTTTCCTGATTCCCCAGGACGCCTTGCTGGACCGGTCCCAGACCTGGAGCACTCAGCACATCCTCATCTGCTGCGTGTGTCTGGGAGACAACAGCGAGGACGCAGACGAGATCATTCAGTGTGACAACTGCGGGGTGACTGTGCACGAAGGTAGGCTGCAGAATTAGAACAATATATACAATACATACGTTGTTTTTTACAGGTGCTAAGCATAGACAATAAAACATGGTCGTAGCCTCAGTGACGCTGGTTTCTGAAGAGATGCTTTGGAGCTCATTGATGGTGGTTGTCATGTTGGTAAATGTTATCTCAACCCAGCTTTTGAAAATCTGGGCAAGAGCCCTAACCCTCCTGGCTACACGACGACATCAGCCTGCCCCAAACTATTCAGGTTTATCTATAACCTTTAGCTTAAATATATTCAAGTTACATAAAGAATTCAGCCTCCGTACCATGTTGCAAACGCAGGTGTTGTGTAAAACATGAAGAACAGCAGGTAGACATAAAAACTGAATTAAAGATGGTATTTATTTTTTGTTGATTTATCACATTTCATTTTAGGGCTGTGCTCAAAAAAATCAACCTGGCAATATATCGTCATGTGCTCCCTGCAAATCCATGCATCGATGCAGATGTTACAGAATCGATACGGCTGCAAAGCTGAAAGTTAGTTGACCTATGCTGCAGTTCACAATAACACCATAGCCGTAGCTCTGGATTACAATACTTGAATGTATTTCTAGGATCTCTGAGGACCTGGATTTAAGTGTTTGAAGTTGTTGGCTCCTTAATACGTCTCTGCTTTTTTTCTCAACAATAAAGAACAGCTGCTGTAGTGAATTCTGTGTAGGACATGGTCGTTATCCAAAATCAATAATTATCAGGATATCGTCTCGTGGGGTTGTGGAAAATAGCCCGAATTCATATGGTCATGGCAATATTGAACACTTACTCATATCATGCAGGCATAGACTGTTCTTTTGTTCTTAGTTTGAATTGACATCCTACCCAGCTATCAGACAGCCTTTGTCTTCAGACACTCCCACACACTTTCTCACTTACATATTGCCCACTGATCATGGTTTGAATGTTTGACTGCTGTTGAACAGAAGATGGTCATTGTTTTGGCAGCTTCTTTATCCTTGAGATTGACTATTATTCACGTAGAAAAAGACAAACTCAGTCATTTTAAACACCCCACAGAATGTTGGGACACAACAATTCAAAAGCATCTTGTGTTGCTGTATTGTTAACAGTGCAACAGAGACTGAGGAGGAAATCAACTTCTTGTTTCAGCTTTATCAGCTGAGTGAGTCTGACTGCTTGGAAACAAGATCAATGACTGAGTCATCTCTTTGGGATTGGAGTTCTCCCACACATCCATAGTCACAGCTGACCATGCAGCGGGGATCGATGGGACACCGCTAATTTTCAGTCACTTCATTTATTAATCTATTTCCTCTTATTTGGACCAATCGAAAAGCAGCAGACAAATGCAGACGGACTGTAAAGAGCTGCTTCTTTGTTTCCTTCTTGCTGTCAGTGTAGCTTGTGCCTCTCAACATAAAGGGATTTAATTGAAACAGTATATAAATGAGCATTGATATGATTACTAATAAGTCACCTGAACCAATACAGCTGCTGTTGAAAGCGTTTTTTTTTTTCAGATGAACTTTGTTCAAGCCTGTTTTATGCAATGTTATGACGACATCACTGATAAATCTCAACTAGCTAGTCTGTTAGCTTGTTAGCAGCACATCAGTAAAGGTCAACCCAATAATCTTAAATATTATTTGCCGATATTACATGATTTATTGACCAGTCAAATTGCATTTCTTGAGCGTTTCATTGTATTACACCAGCAGTTCTCTTTCACAGAAGAGGGCGCTATATGGATTATAACAAGCATCATTACTCTCAATTCAAGCGGTGATGAACGTACTGTACGAACTGTACATGCACAGTTACTTTCCAGTTGAGTGACCATCTTGTCTTTACCATATATCTTTTCCACAAGTGTTTGATATCCGCATTTGTGGGATCAATGCAATAAATGTATATATTTATATCTATCTCTACAGATATATAGATATCTCTAAAGATATCGGCCACAATATATCGTATCTGATTTTTTTTCCTCCACAATATTGATATCTGTATCGGCCCCAAAAATAACATATCGGTCGGGCATATTAAAAATGCCAGAGGGCTAGAGAATGACTCGCTAAGAGCACCCCTAATGTCCACACAGTCAAAAAAAGTGATAAAATCTTGACATTTAAGAGCACATCACCGTTTAGGCATATACTGCGCTTCTCAAAACTACTTTCCCTTGGCATTTTGGTGCTTATAATACATTTAATTATAAAAAAAAATGTCTTTGTTGCCTGTATCTGATGCTTGATGGTACCAAAAAAACATTACTGAAAGGTGTAAGATGTTTCCTGATTGGTTTTTAAAACGTGTCTTGATTGAGTCCTAACGTAGAAAGTAATAATCAGGGCTGACATTCATCACTTACAGCTGTTTTTTATTATATGTTTTATCTTAACCTTGTATCAGAATGATCCATGTAATTCCAAAAATTACCAAGATTCCTGATTAATACCTATATCTAATACAAATACCGGCGCAACCAATATATATCAGTAAAATGCTGACACATGCGCCGTTATGACCGTAACTGAGCAGCTATCACCCACCGCTCAGGAAAAAAGCATGCAGTGGGTGATGAAATGAGTTAATGTAAGGTAACCATTTTTTAATAGAGCACATTATGTACGCAGTGTATGTCTAGAAATTTTGACCAGTTTCATGATGAAACAACCCTGTAATATAATGAAAATAATGGGTTGCATTGGGTTACATAATCAGCTACGATGTCGACATCTGCCTGTAATCACAAATTTATACTCAGGACAGCCCAACGCGACAGTGATTGGCTGAACTGTATCAGAGTTTAGCCTGAGCAGTGAGCACCTTTGAGCAGGACTTGTCAGATTATCTCGGTTTTATGATATGCAAACACTAACACACACGCACACATACACACACACACACACACACACACTGAAGTGGAGGGTGGGAACTATCCTAATCACCAATTCTCCATAGGCAGACGGGAGATATTAGGAGCAGGTCTTAAATTTATCTTGTTCGTTCGGTCGGCTGATATTTTCTTCCTCTGAGACACGTTTAATCTCTCTGAAAAGACACACAGGGGAGACTAAGTGGTTTGCAGTGGCAGCACTTGCGGCCACTTCCTATCTTCCTCTCCAAGGACATGACTGGTGCTCCTTTTTTTTTTTCTGGGGCAGTGAAATATGGAACTTAATTTGAGCCATAAGTTTGGCGCCCCTGTGTACTTGTGCTCTAAGTGGACAGATCTATTGTTCCATTGGAGGTTTAATTCAACAGCTCAGCTATTTTTTTGTCATGTTGTATAAGATCTTATCCACGAGATTTACGGCAAAGCAGCTTTATCTCACAGGTGTCTGTTCACGTGCCTTAGCTAGGGAATGTGTGATGGTTAATGAGTAGATTTGAATGAATTCCATTTTTTTGTTTTGCAAATTTTTAAAGTATCATCAATCATGTCAGTGTGAAAAGAATTGATCCAAGAATGAATTGATCCAAGAATCACCACCTTCAATTCAGGAGGAAATGACTTTCAATAGCCTTTTTTTTTTTTTTTTAACAGCGTAAAAATTCTCTTTAATAATGCTAATCCATCCATCCCCAGTCCGAAACTGGGTTGAGAGAGGAGGGAACGCTATGCGGGAAAGTAGCCACATGTTGGATTCTAACATGAGCTGCCCACTGTTGAGGACTTAAGCCTCTGTACATGTCGGGCATGCACTCATCACTGGGCGACCGGTGCCCCATTTTTTTCAACTCGTATTTAAAAATTATGTGTACTTACACCCGTAGATTGCTTCAACCTGAAGCCATGTGGTGTAATCGTTGCAACTAAATCCTACCTGTTAAAACCGACAACAATACTGTGAGGATCTTGACAGAAAGTCCTCCTTGTTAAAGAGTAAGATGCTTTTTAAACAAGCTTCAGAAAGCTGTCCATATGTAACTACCTCCCATTGGGCTGTCTTTTATCAACATTTGTGAAAAATTCAGTTCACCCTGTACTCATGGAAACACCAAGCCAATGTTAAAAAGTTGTGTATGCTTTTTCTGTGTTTGAGTTGATGAACTCTGTATTACTTAGTGAGTGAAAGAAGTAACTAGATTTTTTTTTTAAAAACTTACCATCTACAAGTTTAACAAACTCTGCCATGCTGCTACAAAATAAATTCCTCTTATGTAAAGTGTGTTATATTCTCTGTTGGAAGTGGATAAGGAACCTTGTCCTTGTATTTCTAATCCAAGTGTCATTCTTAAGTACTGCACTGTGATCTAAGGTGTTATTTGCATTAATGAATTCAGGACTTTTCATGCATTTATTTTAAGGAGTACTGAGCTGAATCTTGCTACCTCTAGATCTAACTATTTAATTATGAAGAGCTGCTATGCTGAGGCAGGCGAGTTTGACCTGAAACTCAAAGTATGTCCTTCCCTCTTTCTGTAAGCATAATTGTTGATTAGGCCATATTATTATCAGTAATTTATTTATTTCCTAATTTTGTGAGCTGCAGCTTAGATTGTCGAATGATAGAAAAGTGCTTGGGTAGACAATGATGTAATCAGTATGTCTGCTGAGATACTGGATAAGTTGCATGTTTCCAAACAATGTGAGTTCCCTGCACAAACTCCTTACGTGGAACAATTTCTTTGGACGAAATGTTGATAATTCAACACCCTTATTTAATAATCTTTTGTTCTTTAATTATTTGCATAAAACAATGGCCTTTACGCCCTGTATCACTTTAAACTAAACATTGCGTTCTAGTGATACTGCCCTCTTAATGGTAAATGAACACTTACTAATGAGTGAATGCGGTGGCTGTGTTTTTCTTTAATCAAATGCAGACTTTGACATAATTGACCAATTATATTCTTCTAGGCAGAGAGAGAGAATAGGCTGGAGAAAAATGGGAAGGTTGTGTTCTACAGAGTATCATCTCTTTTTATTGTGATCTATTGGGTCTGGAGGCCCTCAGGGATCATTTCTGGGTCTTATGTTTCTTATGCTGTAT